CCGACGACGACGACGTCCGGCGGCCCGCCCGCGCCGGGCCGGGGCGGCCGGAAGCCCCGCGGCGCCACGGCGCGCGCCGCGTAGGCCGCGAGCGCGCACGCGCCCGCCGCGACGACGACGGGGTGCACGCTGAAGAGGAGGCAGCCGAGGAGCGCGAGCCGCGCGAGCCTGCGGGCGCGCGGTCGGCGCGCGCGGGCGCGCGGCGGGCGGCCCGCGCCGGCGCGCGCGGCATGCGGCCGCGGTAGGCCATGAAGAGGATGACGACGCACGTGTGCAGCGGGAGCACGGGGTCGCCGACGAGCCGCGTCCGCGCCGCCGCCTCGAGCCGCGTCGCCGCGGCGACGGCCCAGGGGTGCGTCGCGACGCCCTTGAAGCGGCCGAAGCGCTCGAGGAGCTCGCGCTCGACGCGGTTCGCCTCCGCGGACCCGTAGACCTTCTTCCGCGAGCTCGCCTCGCGGCGCAGGTCCTCCCAGAAGATCGAGGCCTCGTCCTCGTCGAGGGGCTGCGCCGCGGCCCGCTCGACCTCTTCGTCGTCGGCGTATTCCGCGAAGACGGGCAGCACGACGTCGTCGAGATCGTTGAGGGGGCTCGCCTTCTTCGAGCCGAGCTTCATCGCACCGACGGCGAGCGACTCCTGCCCCTTCTCCTCTTCAACAACCTCGATGAGATCGTTCGAAGCATGCAAAGTCGCGGGCCGTCCGAGGACTTGGAGGCCTCGCCGGCCGCGGACTTGGCCGCGGCGCCTCCGCTTGTCACGAGTTGAACCCGAGATCCTTCGCTCGATGCGCGGTTAAAAAGGGGGGCGGTTGGGTTGTATGGGCGGGGTCGACGGTGCCGCGCGAACGTCGAGCGCGCTCCATTGGAGACGTCGGCGCGCCCCCCGCTCCAGCGCGCGCGCCGTCTCATTCGCGGCGGCCCGGGGCGGGGAGGCGGCCCTGGAGGCTGCCTCCATAATATTGTGTTTCGGGCTGCGGCACCGACAACCTCAATATGAGTTCATGGAACTTTATTTTCGGGGGGAGAGCTAAGGACGGCGCGTCGTCGGGACGGCGTCGGGCTCGAAATGGGAGGGACTTGTGGAAGCGGGGACTTGGCGGGGCAAAAAGGCGCGGAGCCGCACTGCGCGCGGGGGCGTGCTGGTCTCGGCGGGTTGGTGGGGACTTTTGTCGCGGAGCCGCACTGCAACGCGAGGGCGTGCTGGTCTCGGCGGGAGCGCTGGGCGCTCAGACTTCGGGGGCCTTGGCGGTCTCGGCCTCGACGACGGGAGGCACCGCCGCGTTGGTCTTGCGGGCCTTGTAGAGCGCGCCGAGGCCGACGGCGAGGACGACGACGCCGGCGATGCCGATGAACATGGGCACGTCCGCGCTCGCGGACTCCGTGCCGTCATCGGAAGAGGAGGAGGCCTCGGAGCGCTCCTCGGCGGCGACGGTCGTACCTTCGAGGACCGCGGACGTGGCCTCGACGTCCACCGCGACGTCCGCGAAGACTTGGCCACCCTGCTGCAGGACTTGGACGAAGAGGCCGTCGTCGGCGGCCGCGGCGACGCCGGCGACGAACTCGGACAAGTAGGTCGCCGCGTAGTCGGCGCCGGCGTCGCGCAGGGTCTGCGTGACGACGACCGTGTACTCGACGAGGGCGCCCGCCTCGAGCTTGCGGCGGCGCGAAGCCTCGACGGCGCGGACGTTCTTGACTTGGTCCGTGCTCGTGACGTCGGCGACGGACGCGACGATGGCCTTCTTGAACTGGAGCCGCGCGCGCGCGTCGTCGTTGAACGCCGAGACGTCAAGGTTCTCGAACGCGATCGCGCTCTCGACCTCGAGGTCCACGACGGAGATGGGCGCGGCCTCCTCGTAGGCGACGACGTCGCCGGCGAGGACCACGGTGTTCACGACGAGGCCGTTCGACGCGAGGCGGAAGTAGAAGTTGCCCGACGTCACGTCTGCCGCGACGGCGGCCGAGACGGAGCGCGCGCCGGCGTCGTCGATGCCGGAGACGTGGATCTGCACGAAGATGCCGTCGGCGGACGCGGCGACGCCCGTGAGCTCGACCTGGTCCCCCGTGATGACCCGGGCCGCGTCCACGGTGCTCGCGACGAGGCTCTCGTCGACGTCGCCGGAGGCCAGGTAGTCGTCCAGGGGAAGTCCGTCGAGCTCGAGCTTCAGGTCCACGCCGGCCGTGCCCTCCTCCGCGAGCGACGGGTTCGAAGCTCCGAGCTGGAGGACGGCCGCGTCTTCGTTCGCGGCGGCTTGGAGCTCGCGCGTCGCGCGGCGGAGCTTGCGCGCGCCGGTGTCGACGTGGTGGTACTCGACGATCATTTGGACCTCGAGGTTCGCCGTGGCGCCTTCGTCGGGGCGGAGCCCCGGGGGGAGGAAGAACGTGAAGTAGTCGTGGTAGGCCTTGGTCAGCTCCGCGAGGTCCGCGTGGGCGTCGTTGAGCCAGGCTCCGGCGTACTTGTAGCCGGGGGCGGACTGGCCGAATTTCCGGTTCGAGACGAGCGCGTACTCGAGGCCCGAGTCGAGGTTCCGCACGGTCGCGGTCTTCAGGAACGCGACGTAGGACTCTGAGTCCTCGTCCGTCGTGTTGAGCATGAGGCAGACGCGCGAGTTCGCGTCCATGGTCGAGCTCGCGGACGCGGAGTAGATGTCGCAGGGCGCCGTGGGGCTCGAGGCGAGGGCGACGCGGTGCGCGGCGACGCCGAGGTCGAGGCTCTCCGAGACCGTCTGCGTGTCGTTGCCGGCCGTGGACGAGGACATGGCGACCTGATCCACGACGTCGATGGTGTACGTCACCTCGTGCTCGAAGGACGCGAGCGCGTCGAAGGGGTCCGAGTGGCCGACGCCGATCGTGACGCCGAGCGTGAGCGTGATGATGCCGTTCTCGTCCTGGACCGCGCTGCCGGGGCACGCCTCGACGAGCGTCGTCGGGTCGAGCGTCCGCGACACGGTCGAGTGCTCCGCGCACGACGACGCCGAATCGGCCTCCTGGCAGAAGCCGGCCGCGAGCTGGAAGTCGATGCAGTCCACG